TTATCACGCCAGTTAGACTCTAATTCTTTATTAAATACTGATTGACACACAAAAATTGAAAATGATAAAGGTACTGCGTTATAAACACTTGCTGTGCCGGTCAACTAAAGAATGCCCTTCGATGTTCAACATCGGTGGCACAATCAACTTTACTCTACCCTGATCTCTCGAGTCAAGGTCGCCAATCCCGTCTAACCAAGGCAACACTGTGCTTAGGTAATAGAGATTTAGGTCTTGGAATAGTTCTTTAGTTGTGAGGTCGTTCACGCTGAGTATTCCGTTTTTCGATTTTATCTCCAAAATCCGTCTATAGAACATAACGAATATGTAATACTCTAACATAGTCTCTGAGACTTGCTTACAAAATACTTTGTCGCATGCTGACAACTCGTAAAGTTGTCTAATGGCTGATGGTAGACACTAGGCGCTGATAGCGACTCGGAGTGATTCCCCTATAGACTGGAGGGCGTTATCTTCCACCAACAGCATCGAGTCTAGTTCTTCTGGATCTCGTACTGTAATATCGGTGAATAAGCTAACGTCTTTTGGAGTCGAATTGTCCCTTCCCTTCCTCTGAGGCTTACGCCTCATGAGGAACTTTGGTGGAATGTCACTCTTAACGGTAAGCTCCGAAGATGCTTCCGTTGTCTGCGGAGTGACAGTTTCCATTTTCTGGATGCTATTTGATGGCGTGGGAGGTTGTTTTCACTGGTGGTTCTAGGTGCGGCTTCTCGTTATCTGTGTTAAAACTTCTGCCTGCTGGCCTTCCTCTACCACGTTGGAAACGTTCTTTTGTTGACTTTCTGTCTGTATTCGACATGTTAAATAAACCGTTAGGTTAAAATTTCCAAAAAATTGGGGTCTAGAATAATTTAGATTACAAACCGAATGAGCGGCCCCTGGTCTCTTTTTGCCTGTCAAATGACGATGGTCTCTGACTTTAATATGAAAATTTTCGAATGGTTTCTCTCAGATACTGCAAGTGATGGCATTATTGAAATCTTTCTCCTTGTCCTTAGACAAGGTATCCATTCGAACTATATTTTTTAAATATTTATTACAGATTTCCCTTAAATACGCTGTACGAGTACCTTTGCCACATTATCCCCCCTATAAAATACTAATTTTGAGATTGAATCGACGAAGGAACGAACACTTTATCAAATAGGCAAACGAAAATTGTTCATGGCTGAACGTTTTACACGTATAAGATTTTTCGGGATTAGGTTCACATATATCCATAGGTTTCAAAATGGATTCGATATCGGCATATACTACAAAAGGCACCTTCAATTGTTTTTCAAAATTTTCAAATTTTAATATGTATGTTTTCGGGAACACTTTTCCCAAACTTATCTACACGTAATTCCAAAGTAGGTGCAGTGGTGTAAAGATTGCAGTAACGCCTTTGATGTTGTAATAGCATATTTTCAGAACCAAAGTAAGATACACAACCATCACAGAAATACTTTCTATGCTCATTATTAGACACCTGACTAGAAACCAATCTCGACAAATCCTTTATCCAACAATAATGGCTTATCGCACATTCTTTACCACAATGATGATTTTGACCGCCCTCCTTAGTAATAAGTAACAAATTCACATGATATATACTCTGATATATAATACCTCAATTTTCTTTGTGAATAACGCAAAGGTCCGACTATTTCGTATTTTAGTATATTATTTTCGAGTGTTATTTCCAATCCATATACATTAACAGAGATATCGTTCATTGTTTCGAATTTTGAAATATCCTTCAATTTAACTGGAAAATTCATACCTACCAAATTTAAAACAAATGAAAAATGTGGATATGATGACATCTCATGCACTGGACCTCTCGGTGAATATAAAGCTGAGGTTATTGCCCATGCAAATTAATACTCATCTTGATTTTTATGTTTACTATAGCTTTCTTGTTTTCCACAAACTTCGGTAACTTTACATATGAAGATCCGCATAGAGGACTGTTTTTATTTACGTTAACCTCCACATATAATATTTCTTCGATAGCCCAACCTGTAATAATAACAAATTATGTTAACGACTTTCATTTCACCTCTTATTAATATCATCACTTACCAGAATCTTTCTCCTAAAATTCTGACGTTTGAGATGTCATCGTGTCTACAAAGTCTTTGTAAATGTCACTAATATCCTACGACTCGTCGATAATCTTATTGCAGCTATTAAATGCCTTTACATCGGATGTCTCGCGAGTTTGTAATTGGCAAAAGTTTCCGTATTCACTTTTATAGATTTATGAACCCTTATGATGTCTTCCAACAAATTTATTATCTTCGCCTTCACTTCATCAAAAAAAAACATTACATAATATGTATGTTTGGTATCGCTATGCACTCTATAACTAATTATCCTGCACTTGAATGCACTATTGATTACTTGTATGCCCTCACATTTAGGAGTACAGGACGTTGTTCTGTGCTCCAATCTCCTACGATGAGCATATATTTGACTTCTTGGTATATCCCTATTACAACACTTTACTGTTTGCATTGGTTGACTCTCATGTAACAATTTGATCCGTTTCACCTCAGGTTCACCAACGTTTATGCGCTTACAAGACTCCCTTTCATGACGACGCAAGTTATCACTGCGTGTAAAACTTTTACCACATACACTGCACAAACACATTTTTTTATCAGTCAAGTCACCACCGATCAGAGTTTCAATCTGAAATGAAATCCGTTCTACTTACTCCATCCTTTTTATACATAGAATGGATAGCGCATGTGCAGTTGACTCGAAATGACATTAACATTCATGTGCCCTTCAGTTAGAGGTAGTGACAGAGGACATTGAAGGTAATCCTATAGCATTCAATCAGCAGAGGTCAAATAAAAGTCGCCAACTGATGTGACCTTCAATGTCATTTACCAACTACAAAGAATATTTTAACTATGTATAGAGGCCAAATAAAGGTTACCAACTTATGTGACCTTCAATGTCGTTCAGCGTCATATCATAGATCACCACATATGTCATTTCAAGGGCGAAAATGGAGGGGGAGTCTCACAACGGGTTAAAATACCCTACTTGCGTCAGCAACTCATTCATTTTTTTGTCAGCTAGAAAAATCGCAACCTCTGCCCTGAGTTCGTACAATCTTCCCAACATATTGCCCTTCGATAACCACTTAACGTCTATGTGAAAAAGGAGCACCTCATGGTCTGCGTCCATTTCAGAGCATAGTTTTTTTAAAAAGCGTGTATTTAAGGCGCTGCTTTTGATAACATTTACCACGTTTATGGCTAATCGCTTTGTTTTCTTAAGGCATCCTGGGAGAGTCAGAAGCTAACACCTGACGGTGTATGATACAATGCGTTGTTATTGCCTTAGGATTCTTCTGTTTTACTAGCGTCGCAAGACCGGAGCGTGATCCCAACATAGCCGGAGCGCCATCCGTACAGAAACCAAAGAGTTTCTCCCAACTAATGGTATGTTTCTGAAAATATTCCGATATTGTGTTCATGACGTCGATACCTTTTAATGTTGTTTCCAGTTCTCGTGAAATCAATAATTCTTCTTTGATTATGTTGTCGTCTAAAAAGCGGACAAACACAAGTAACGAACAACAATTAGAAATGTCAGTCGATTCATCACACTGCAAAGCGAAGCATGGTGAGTTTTTGATTTTTGAAACAAGTTGCTCCTCGATATCGTTTGACATTAGTTCAATTCGAGCTTTAATCGTGTTGTTCGATAAAGGTATTTTCTTGTATTTTGTTTGGCCTCTAATCCCAAAACTTCTTCGACAGCTTTGATCAAACACGGTTTCACGAGTGTTTCTCCGATTGTATGAGGTTTTTTAGATTGCGCTATTAATTTTGAAATCTCAAACGATGCTACTAATGTTTTCTCTGATGTCGCAAATCTCGTACCACTAGGCCCGAGTTTCATTTTTTTTAAGGTTCTCTAATTTGCCTTCAAAAAATTATGACGGTCGATCAGAGAGATTAGGATAGTTACACACCCAATATCAAGACCGAATCTTCTTTTATTTTTACCTTTATGCATAATACATTGTTATGTACGCTTTTTCTATCTATTGAGGTCAATGTAAATGATAAGAGATCCCTATATAAACTCATGTGAGATCTCTCATCATCAGTGTAGTAGAATTAGTAGTTACATCTTGTATTGACCATCTAGTAATCAATAAAGTTGTTTTAACAAATAAATGTGTTAAAGTCTTCCAAGTCACGAATTGCAACTTTAACTGGCGCAGTCGGTAGGATAGTGCGAAGTCCCCGAAGATCATATTTGGTAGTAATAAATTGACCAGTGTGAAGAACCCTTCGAGACTATTGACTCTCAAGTCTTGAGCAGTAGCCAGAACACTTTTGGAAAGAACCTCGAGAACCACAGCCATTCTCTGTTGAAGCCAACTGTATTGGTGAGTCTGTGAGTCTTCCCTGTTCCCATTCCCTCGATTGATACTGATACTTTCAAGTTCTGTGACAAAATTACTATTTACTCCTTGAAATTGACTGTTTATCAATTTCCGGTTAGGTTAGGAATCTAGAGGTTAACTGTATATTAATTTCTAGTTAATTAAGAATTTAAGAATTAAAAAGAATGTAAAATCAAAATGGCAAATCCTAATTATCAATTAAAAAAAATGTATATCGATACAATCCCGACTTTCGATGGTATTCCATCACTTTTAAACGATTTCTGTGAAGCATGCGACGGATTAATTATACATTTTTCGAATGAGAATAATGAAGAGCAGAATAAATTTTTAGTAAGAACAATACGAAATAAATTAATAGGTCAAGCCCAAGTAAATATTTCAACCAGGCTGGAAGTAGAATCCTGGATTGAAATTAAACAGATATTGATACGAACTTTTGGCGATCCTCGCGATATCGACACTTTACNGTAGTAATAAATTGACCAGTGTGAAGAACCCTTCGAGACTATTGACTCTCAAGTCTTGAGCAGTAGCCAGAACACTTTTGGAAAGAACCTCGAGAACCACAGCCATTCTCTGTTGAAGCCAACTGTATTGGTGAGTCTGTGAGTCTTCCCTGTTCCCATTCCCTCGATTGATACTGATACTTTCAAGTTCTGTGACAAAATTACTATTTACTCCTTGAAATTGACTGTTTATCAATTTCCGGTTAGGTTAGGAATCTAGAGGTTAACTGTATATTAATTTCTAGTTAATTAAGAATTTAAGAATTAAAAAGAATGTAAAATCAAAATGGCAAATCCTAATTATCAATTAAAAAAAATGTATATCGATACAATCCCGACTTTCGATGGTATTCCATCACTTTTAAACGATTTCTGTGAAGCATGCGACGGATTAATTATACATTTTTCGAATGAGAATAATGAAGAGCAGAATAAATTTTTAGTAAGAACAATACGAAATAAATTAATAGGTCAAGCCCAAGTAAATATTTCAACCAGGCTGGAAGTAGAATCCTGGATTGAAATTAAACAGATATTGATACGAACTTTTGGCGATCCTCGCGATATCGACACTTTTCAACAAGATTTAATTCATCTTACTTATGATTCTCGTCAAGAATCATTGATTAACTTTAGCAATAGGATATTACAGACGCAATCGTTATTAATGGCGAAATTAAAACAATCACACGAAACAAGAGAGGTAAAAAGAGCATTGAGCACTGTGTTTCAAAAATTAAGCTAAGAAATTTACCTTTTCATTATCAACCAGATGGTCAGAACCAAAGAAATCGATGACCTAGACGAAGCAATCACGTTCATAAACAATGAAGAACAATTTAATAAGTATAAAAAAACAGTAGAGCACACCAGAGTCAAAAATCAACCTAAACCATTCCCTCCAACAAGAAATCCACATTTTCACAATCATTTCCTATCGCCAAGAAGTCAATTCCAAAACCACTACCCTAGAAACGATTTTCCTAATCAAAACTGGCACCCTAATCAGAATAATTTCACTAATAGACATCATAATCAAAGTAACTATTAAAATAGGTACCAAAACAGCAATCCTATCCCAAATAGACAAAATAATTTCACACAACAACATTGGCCCAATCAACCAATTAATGTCCAACCTCGACCAATGAAACAAAACTTCCCGACAAATAAACAAGTATTTGGCCCAAANAGTAAGAACAATACGAAATAAATTAATAGGTCAAGCCCAAATAAATATTTCAACCAGACTAGAAGTAGAATCCTGGGTTGAAATTAAACAAATATTGACTCGAACTTTTGGAGATCCTCGCGATATCGACACTTTACAACAAGATTTAATTCATCTTACTTATGATTCTCGTCAAGAATCATTGATTAACTTTAGCAATAGGATATTACAGACGCAATCGTTATTAATGGCGAAATTAAAACAATCACACGAAACAAGAGAGGTAAAAAGAGCATTGAGCACTGTGTTTCAAAAATTAAGCTTAGATACATTCGTTAGAAATTTACCTTTTCATTATCAACCAGACTTTGGTCAGAACCAAAGAAATCGATGACCTAGACGAAGCAATCACGTTCATAAACAATGAAGAACAATTTAATAAGTATAAAAAAACAGTAGAGCACACCAGAGTCAAAAATCAACCTAAACCATTCCCTCCACCAAGAAATCCACATTTTCAAAATCATTTCCTATCGCCAAGAAGTCAATTCCAAAACCACTATCCTAGAAACGATTTTCCTAATCAAAACAGGCACCCTAATCAGAATAATTTCACACAACAACATTGGCCCAATCAACCAATTAATGTCCAACCTCTACCAATGAAACAAAACTTCCCGACAAATAAACAAGTATTTGGCCCAAATCAAAGAATTTCGGTCCAACCCCGATGTCCGGTATTTCTACCATAAATTCCGATCACTTTAAATCCCGACCCGAGTTTAATAAAACCGAGACAGACATAACTCCGCCNTCAAAGTAACTATCAAAATAGGTACCAAAACAGCAATCCTATCCCAAATAGACAAAATAATTTCACACAACAACATTGGCCCAATCAACCAATTAATGTCCAACCTCGACCAATGAAACAAAACTTCCCGACAAATAAACAAGTATTTGGCCCAAATCAAAGAATTTTGGTCCAACCCCGATGTCCGGTTTTTCTACCATAAATTCGGATCACTTTAAATCCCCACCCGAGTTTAATAATACCGAGACAGACATAACTCCGCCTGGATGGTCACATAATAACCTAGAAGATCAATTATCCGTTTTTTCCCATCAAGGACATTTGACCCCAAAACAAATAAATACACTGCAAATTCCTGATAATCAGCCAGACGAGTTCCTATACGACGAATGAAACGAAGACTGGGATGCAGAACTATCTGAAAATTTTCAAAACGTTTCATTAGACGCCAACCCCACAAAAAATCCAAAACCAATCACGTTGAACTAAACACAAATCTAATCCATAGTTCACTTCCCTACATCCAATTAAGTAAACCTCCTTTAAAACTCCTTTTAGATACGGGTAGTTCCAAAACCATTCTCAAACCCGACATTGTACAGAAATATTTCCCGAATCTCATCAGAACAGACCCTATCCAAGTAAAAACGGGATCAGGACAAATCCTTGTGAAAACCCAAGCTCATATTCCATCCTTCCCCGAGTTCAACTCAAATCAAAAACTTGACACCATCCTTTTCAATTTTCACGAATTTTTCGATGGAGCCCTTGGTATAGAAGACATTAAAAAACAAAAAATAGAAATATCCTTCAAAAATAATACTATATCCAATAGTCATTGGACCCTTCCTACCTATATCATATAAACATCCAATAACATATACCCAAAATCAACCAATAATTCTTGCCCTTCAACAAGTTACAAAGATAACCCTGCCAATAGACTAAACCAATAATGCAGAACTCCTAATAAATGAAATCAAAGCTAATAAATGTTATCTCCCCACAACCCTAACCAAAGTAATGAATAATAAAATATGTTTCGAATTTCACAACTATGACACACAATACCACAACTTTGATTCCACTAAATTAAAATTTATACCATCAGAATATCAAACCTACGATTATAAACTTATTGAAGAAGGCAAAAATTCACATAAAAAATTAAACTTAAAATCCTTATTAAGAACCTCACATTTAAATAATGGGGACAAAATTATTTCATTATGTGACAAATACACCCACATTTTTCAAAAACCAATCGAGAAGTTAAGTTTTAGCAATGCGGTAAAGCACGAAATTTTGACAAAAGATGATAGTCCCGTATATTCAAAAAGTTACCGATATCCCTATGTCCATAAGGCAGAAGTTTCTAAACAAATCTCCGAAATGTTATATAATCACATAATACGACCCTCTTAAAGTCCTTGGTCTTCCCCAATCTGGATAGTACCGAAAAAACTAGACGCAAGTGGTAAACGAAAGTGGAGACTTGTGATCGATTATAGGAAAGTTAATGAAAAGACAACAGACGATAAATATCCATTACCTAACATTACCGAAATTCTAGACAGATTAGGAAGATGTTCATATTTTTCAACTATAGACTTAGCATCTGGTTTCCATCAGATTGAGATGCATCCAAATTCTATTCAAAAAACCGCTTTTTCAGTTGACAATGGTCATTATGAGTTTATCAGAATGCCTTTCGGTTTAAAAAATGCCCCAGCAACTTTTCAAAGATGTATGGACAATGTTTTAAAGGATCTTCAGAACAAAATTTGTATGGTATACATAGATAACGTAATCGTATTTTCCAATGGTTTACAAGAACACTTACAAAACCTTGAATTAGTATTCGAAACCTTTGAAAAAAATAATTTAAAGATTCAACTAGATAAATCCGAATTTCTCAGGAAAGAAGTGACATTTCTAGGACACGTAATAACACCCGACGAAATCAAACCCAATCCAGAAAAAATTAAAGCTATTCAAAATTTTCCCATACCCAAAACTACTAAAGAAATCAAATCATTTTTAGGATTATTAGGTTACTATAGGAAATTTATAGAGAATTTCGCAAAAATAACAAAACCTTTGACAAACTGTCTAAAGAAGAATGAAAAGATTGAACTCACTAAAGATTTATTGTAATTGTTTTGAATTTTGTAAAACTTTATTAACAAATGACCCTATATTAGCATTTCCCGATTTCACGAAATCATTTGAAGTCACTACTGACGCCTCTAATTTCGCAATAGGCGCAGTACTTTCTCAAAATAACAAACCCATTAGTTACGCCTCTAGAACATTAAACCCGGCAGAAATCAATTATTCAACAATAGAGAAAGAACTTCTTTCAATCGTCTGGGCATGCAAAACATTCAGACCCTATATTTACGGCACTAAGTTCACTATATAAGGTACACCGGGGTAAGTGGAACCTAAAAAATCACTAGTTCGACTTAAAACTTGTGTGAAAATTTTTTTGGGGTAGTAGTGGATAAAGCTCTATTACTTGTTAGCCAGATGTATGCTGAATAAGTGTACAAATGTATAAAAATATTAATGCAAAAAATTAAAAAAAAAGTAAAAAAATAAAATTAAGTGCGTTAGGTTCCACTTGCCCCGTGATATGGGGCAAGTGTAAACTCGCGTCAAATATCCATTAAACTATACACAAATAATAAGGTGGCAAGTGGAAATAAGAAATACACAGTTTTTTAAACGAAATTTTATTGAAAAATACTTATAAGTAGTTATTTAACGAATATTATACTGATCTAAGGATATCGAAAATGAAACGAGAGACTTTTGTCTTTTTGTTAGATGTTTCAAATTATTTGGATTTGGCAAAACAAATTCTATTTGCTCTTTAAAAGCAATAGAAATATCTTCCACGTTGGGAAAATAAAACCTTCCATCGTTTTTAGCGCACTTTCGTAGGCAACTAATTTCAACCTCTAGATCAAAGACTTTCAAAATCTTAGCCACAAAATAAATATGATCGGTCATTCCTTTAATGGGAAACTTTATCAAAACAAAGTCTTCTGGTTTTGGTTCTCGGTGTATTTCTTCTTCAATAGGAGGGGATGGTGACTTT